AGAGAGCGGAGAGAGAGAGAGGGGGGGAGAGAGAACAGCAGCGGAGAGAAAGAGAGAGAACAGCAGAGGAGAGAGAGAGAGAGAGAGAGAGAGAGAGAGAGAGATGTGAGAGATAGATAGATGGATAGATAGATAGATAGATAGATAGATAGATAGATAGATAGATAGATAGATAGATAGATAATAGATAACAGATTAAGGATAGATGGATAGATATACACATAGATAATAGACAGATACATTAATAGATATAATGAATAAATACATAGATAACAGACAGACAAATAAATGAATAGATAGACAGATACAGATATATATTTATTCTATGTATGAAATCATTTGTATGCTCCATGGGTAGAACTTAAACATGCGTTTGCAGAAAGAACGTTCCTGTAAATACTCTCCTCCAGAGATGACGGATAGAAGAGGAATGAATAAACTGTATTTAATTCAGTGAAAGAACCAACAAAGAAAGTATTTCCATGTCTCAGGATAACAGTTGTCACATCGTCCACTTCCAGGACAGCTCGATGAGATTAGACTTCTGAAATCAGAATGATTCTTCTCTCTGGATCATTGTACAATGTGACATCCTGGCCGCTTCTACAAAAAGTTCTGAGGCAATTATATCAATCGTCTCATTTCTGTCTCATAGTAATATTATCATGTCATTATTTTGTGATATTGTCTCAGACGGGTCATGTAGTAGATACATCTGAGATCTGACGGTCCTCATGCTACGAATAAACCAGGGATGGATCTTCCGGGTCCATATGTCAGTGTTCTGGGTGGATTCCCCGAGTGCTATTACATGGTAATTATGTGCTGCTTTCTTTTTCTAGATGCATATAGTATAACAATGTTTTGTTCGCTTTTTCCTTTAAATATTGTTTCTAGTTTTAGCAAATATTACCAAACAATCGTGTTGTAGGTATATAATGTCATTACTGGTGACAGGGGCTGTCTGCAGGCTGTGCATCTCTACGACCATACACGGGGCGATCCTGTCAATGACAACAAACTCGGACATTTGTTCCATAGAGAATAATCATGAGGAACATCTTATCAGAACTGATCAGATGTTGTTGTTGGAAAATCATTCTCTGTAGACACCGGTCTTGGAGAAATGTTATACAAGTGATGGTTTGGAGTATAGAACAACCCCTGAAGGATATCTGCTTCTGTTCAACATGCAAACAATTCAAATCAATAAAAGTTCACCCAAAACGCGTATG